TATTCTTTAAAACATAAAAACATTTTGATTGTTTCCTGACAGATAAGACACATTACCTTCTCTTTCCAAGGGACACAAAAGTACTCTTCTGACCATTTGTCGTTGACCTTTGACATGGCAGGAATAACTAAGTTAGCCTCTTGTCAGTTCTAACTTTTAGAACCATTTGAAATCATTTCCTGCTTTCAAACAAGACACAGTAGTATACACTAGACGTAATTTGCGTGACTGAGCCAATCACAGTAGGCCAAATGTATTTGCGGTAAGAATCAGTTGTAGCACAGATGTACAGGTATGTAACCTGGGCTAAAGCTGCCGTCTGATGGGCTTAAAGGAAAATGCATTGTGCAGTAGGTGTGTTTCTGCAATTGACTGTTAGTGCTGAGAGAGAGCAGCAGAGCTAACAATCAGAGGTCACTGGCGTCAGATTTTCACTACCTGATGCAAAAAGTAATCCTTGAGATTCAAACAGTAGTGAGCTGCAGGCCACTCAGAAAAGTTCAGCGGACGGGACTTGGCCCGTGGGCCGTGGTTTGCCGACCCCTGACTTACAGTGTCTCTAATAACAGACCATTTACCTAGTAACTGTTTTGTAAATGTGTATGTCCTTGGGATTACATTGATTTCATTACAGTTATAACGCAATTCATGTCTGTGCATGAACAGTAGCTACAGATTTGCTGTGTAATAACCATGGCACTTGTGAAGGTACATACAGTACATTCCAAAAGCATGGGAACAGCAAAGACAATCTGTCCCTATCTATACTGTCTATACAGTCCAGAAGTTTGTTTTTATAATTATGGGATTGAACAGTATGAGAGAAGCACAGTGTATCATCATTTTCTGGATACTTAGATGTATGCATTTGATTTTATTAGAATTAAAACAGTGTTCACTCCAGTGATTTCTAGTTCCCATAAGTATTGGGGGATATTAACTGCAAGTAGATTTCAATGTGTAAAGGTTAGTATTTTGTTACATGTATCTTTGAAGCAATAACCGTATTAAGTCTGTGTCCCATTACACCAAACGCTGTGTAATCATTTAAGATGCTTTGCTGCAGGCATGCTCAGTTCCATTTCAATCTGAATGTTAACTTGGCCGGTCTAAGATTTTTTTTTTACTTTTTTACTCTTGGTTGCTCCTTGGTTGTGCTGAGTGGATGTCTTGAGTCGTTGTCATGCTGCATGGTGAAGCACAGCCCATTAAATATGAAAACATCTTCTTCTACATAAGAAAACAAAAGGACTGGGGAATGCTTCTCAGATGAGTTAGTGTTCTTTGAAATATCTGCAGTGGCTTTCTCCACACTTGAAACTTTCCATCAGTTTGATAAGGGTTCACCTTGGTCTCATCATGAAAACACAGCCGCTAAACCAAGACAGAGTTAAATACAGTAAATACAGGCAGGGTCAAGCCCTAGGAAAACTGGAGGATATGCCTTGCACATGTTTCTGGTGTAAATTTCATATGGGAACACAGACGAAAGGCAATAGTCTCAATGATTATTTTATTTTGATTTATTTGTGCTCTGTGAAAGAAAGAGGCTTAAATGGCCAGTGATCTTTGGCCTGCAGCATGGTCAGTGCCCATAAGTCTGTACGAAGGTGCTTCACATTAGAGAGTAATTAACAGCAGGGATGTCAAATCAAGCACCTGTCAGGCCTGTACATGGAGAAGCTAATTTGATGCTAATGAAAAGCTGCACTCAATTATTCACCCAGACAGAGCAGAAGCATGTCCTCACATGAGCACAGATTCCAGATTCAAAATGAACTAGACTGTTTCTTCTATCTTTCCTAGATCCAGATCGTTGTTCTTTTTTTAATTTGCAAGCTGGTGTGTGGTGGTGAGTGGAGGGAGTGTTTGTACCTCTAAATGACAGCAGTGATTTCAGAAAACGGGGAGGGGATTTGTGCTCCAGGAGAGAAACATTTTAAAAACACAAAGCCATCACCCAAGACTGCGATATGAAACTGGCATCTTTCTCATGACACAGATTTAAAGCTGAGTTTCTTCTCGTTTGTCAAGCTAAAAAAAACACTGAATGTGAGCATGCTTTCCATGTGATACCAGAAAAATATCAGACCTGGTCAGAATGATTGACCTTGTGCATGTGGGCACTGATATCCATAATTAAAAGGGTATCAACATGTGAACATGAAACCTGCGAACAGCAAAGTGTTAGGTGAGTCTGCTGTGTTGCTCTCATAATAACCAAGCTTGTGATCAGTACATAACCTGTGAATGCTGTATGTGCCAGTAATGGGGTTCACCAGAGGGTAACCTACATCCCATCCTAGAAATTGGACCAGCAGTTAAAAGAGACTGGTGTTTCTTTGCAGTGCTACTGCTCATTAGCCGTGCTTTCAGTCAATCAATACCAGCAGCTACGGGATTATTGTTTGCAGCCAGGGCTAGCTTTCCTCTCAAGAATGTTTCATCAAGGTCATCTTCACCAGAGAGCTGAGCATGCCGCTCCCTCCCAAGTATATTACAGGGAGCTGCACAGCTGCTGTCCCTGCTGTGTGGCAACACAGCCTCCCTCTGGCCTGCTGCTGAAACTGCGGGTCTGCTTTCATGCCATCTGACAGATTCTTCCAGCTTGGTCTCTGCAAACAGGTAAGACAATTGCAATATCATTTTTGTAAAAGAAAGGTTTTTTCGTAGGGTAGGAATTTGTTCCTTTTCACAGAAAATGAATCACTGTCAATGCCTTTGAAAGGTAAGCAGTGCTACAGTACGTAGCTGTTTTTATGTGGGTGTTCAACTTAATCTCCTTGTTTAAATACAGCTGCTGAGAGACTGAAATGAATTATGCACTCTTTGGCAGCTGGGGCCTATGTTGTAATTTAGTTTTGTTACTTTTGGAAGGCATGATGACATTCATTTCATTTCTGTGTTAACCTCTGTAAGTATTAATCAGAGTCACGCTAGGGATCTGCCCTCAAAACGTGTCACAAATATAGAACAGAATTGCATTGCATGGGAGTGTAGGACTGACTTTTGGGGGTCTGCTGACACCTTCTCCATTGGTAATCTCTTACACAGGATCCCTTATTTTTAAAAGTTCATTGGTATGACTAACTCCACCCCGAGTAAATGGGGTGATGCTGAAGGTGTTACAGACCCAAGAGTCGCCAGCAGCCATATCTCCCTGCCACTCACAGCTGGCATCCCACTGAAGCTCAGCAGGTGTGAGCCAGGTCAGTACCTGGATGGGAGACCTCCTGGGAAAAACTAAGGTTGCTGCTGGAAGAAGTGTTAGTGGGGCCAGTAGGGGGCGCACACCTTGCGGTCTGTGTGTGTACTAATACCCCAGTATAGCGATGGGGACACTGTACTGTAAGAATGTGCTGGAGACATAAAACCAAGGTCCAAACTCTCTATGGTCATTAAAAATCCCAGAGCGTTTCTTGAAAAAAGAGTAGGGGTGTTATCCTGGCATCCTGGCCAAATTTCCCCCTGGCCTTTACAAATCATGTATTCCTAATAATCCCCATCTCTGAACTGGCTTCATCATTCTGCTCTCCTCCACACTGAGAGCTGGTGTGTGAGGAGTGTACTGGAGCATCATCCAGATGGGGCTGCACACTGGTGGTGGTGGTGGTGGAGGGGATCCCCATTACCTCTAAAGTGCTTTTAGCTGAGTGTCCAGGAAAGGCGCTATACTGTATAAGTGTTAGGAATAATAATAATAATTATTATTATTATTAATTAAGAGCAGAGGCTCAACAGTCTAGGGGTAGTGGCTGGCTCACTTTGGGTACAGGAGACACTGGCATAACGAAGCAACATCCTGAATCAAAATGTCCACCAAAGTCCTTAACTGAAGACTGAGATCAAGGGCCACGGGACGTCGCTCTCTTCTGCCCAGGAGTGGATTCCTGGGTCCAGAGTGTGGGCACCGGCAGGCTGTAGCGCAGGAAGGGGTAGGGCAGAGCACCGTGAGACTATTAACCTAACAGCTCGACACATCAGAGTCAGTACCGTGCTCATACCACAGGGCACAGATGTTTTCATGCTTTTGCAAGTGACACTTGTAAAGAATTGCTAAGGAAAGAGGTGATTTTCCAGACATCTGTTTCGATAAGATATTTTCGTAAGGGGGCGTGTGGAAAAAGTGCCAGCTCCCTCAAAATTTCCGAATGAATGATATTCAGAAATCTCACGCCAGTACAGAGCACAATCTCACAGTTTAATGCCATTCTAATGCTTAAAGGGAATTGGCAGAATCCCTCAGTGGTCACGTTCTTGGTCCCAGCACCACTGATGGTTTTATGGGATTTAGCTGTGGGAGGCGATCGGTGTCACCTTGTGGGGAGACAGGTCTGATCTTTTATCCCGTGTGTGTTGTGTGAGGCGACGGTGAGGAGCTGCTGATCCCAGCAGGGGGCTCAGGGTTAGGGGGTGATGCAGTGGCCTCCATGCTCCACTCTTATACACCCTTGTACTTGTAAACTTTTGTATGCTCTTTCGCAAAGAAAGAAAAAAAAAGACTTTTCACGGTAACTACTGTATGCCCTAAGTGTCACGATCGTAAACCCCTCCTTTTAAGGACGCTCCAGCCCTTCTTTGTTTTTTACTCATCTCCTGCACCTGCCCCCTGTTACAGACCCCTTTCCAGTTCCCCTTAAAAGCCAGATGCTGACGCTATTGCGGGCTCTGCATTGGTTTTCGTCCCAGGTGAGTCCGGGACCTGGCAGCGCCTGGTCCCGTTAAGGTTTTAGTTCCTGTATTTGTTCCTGTTCCCATTCCCGTGCCGGTTCCGACCCGGTTCTTGTTTTTATCTGGTCTGTCTTGGATGGATCGCCTGGCTTTGGACTTTTGCCCCGTTTTTGGATCCCTCTTTTTGACTCAGCTCTGGTCTGTTTGCCTCGGCCACGCCTCCCCCCCCCCGACCACCAGCGCACCGTGGACACGCCCCCCTGTCTTCATTCCCGACTCCCGCATGCTGTTTTCCCTGTGTTTTCTCACTCTGCCTTGGATTGTGTAATTGTAGTCTGTATAGCAGCCAAATGAGTTGTCTGAAAAAAAAATTATATTGTTGTGATTCTTGGAAGATGTATGTTGAGGTGTCTAAGAATTTAGACGATGTTCTACGTGCACTGCGGTGTCACCATTTGCAGGTCTCCAGAGCTTCAAAGCAAGCTAGGTGTTTGTTGAGTTGTTGACAAATAGTTTGAAGGAATCCTCTGGTTTACCTTGGTTCATTAAGTTCTCGGTGAATAATTACGAGTCAGCAACAGTCCAGGAAAACAGCACAAAAAGACCGAGAGAAGGAAGGACACTGGCTGGACCCAGTCTGCCCGATTTATCACTCTTTCACTAAAGCTGTGCCAGAGAACAGAGGTGCCAAACTCGGGTGTCTCTAATTATACCAGCTGCTCAGGTACTATATATTCTTGGCATATCTTTACAATTTTGATGTTATGATTATTTACGTTAATTATTGATTATCCTGCTTGGTGTTTTCTGTCATTTCTATTTTCATAACCCACTATTTTATAACAATGTACAGTACACCATGGTTAAATAGGTGACCATGTTAAGGTTAAGCAAACCATACTGTCCTCTGTCACCTTAAAGAAGGCACTTACCGTAGCACTTACTGTAAAACGTGATGAAAGAAGGCAATTCTGTTGCCGTTCCTTTATACTGTAACAGCATGACTGTTGGCAATGCTCTTAATGTTTAACAGTTCTGAAAATCCCCAGCGTTAAGGCCACTTTGCGTGCTGTGGGGGGGTTTAATTCCTGTTCTTAAGCAACCCCCCACCACCCCCTGCCGGCTCTTCATTACTGAAATGATATCACTGCATTGCTAAGGGCCCTGCGCCGTGAGTGTGCTTTAACGGCACCTGCAGCCCGAATGTAACCGAAACGCACTGATCGATATATACAAGCCAGAAGACATTAGCAAACACGGCCTTCAACAGGGGGAGAAAAATCAATTCAAATCATGTTAGAGAATCTAATATTCATACAGTGAAACCTCATTTCCAATCCAATACAGCCTGATTCTATTTAAAGATGTGTTCTTGAACAGCAGCTTTGTGGCACTGGGAGCTGTCAAGGAGAAAGAAACTGTGCGTGTGTGTGCCTGAAGTTGCCTTTCAACACGCAGTACTGAGGGGCAGGAGTGACCTTTGACCTGTGGCTGGCTATGGTGCATTTGTAAATTACCAATAACCGGCAAGGATTTTCCGTGCTCTTCGCATGATAAAATTTGATACTGAACAGGGGATGTTCACAAGGGGTTGAGCTGGTGCATGAATATTCATGCGCACGGCCATGCACAGATAAGGTGATGGAATCTGCACTGGAGCAGACTCGGGACTTGACTTAGGCACTTACCTGGCATTATTTACCTCTGTGCATTTCTCTCCTTGATGAGATTTCTCTGTGTAACCCCTGAAACAGAACCTGCTCATTTTAAGATAAGGTTTTCTGGCAGTTGGATCATGTTCTGCCCTTGCTGTGTTGTTTTTTTTTCAGAACAAATCTGTGATAGTGAGAACATGACTTGTCACCATCTGAGTTCTGAGCATCTAATTTATTTGCACTTTGCAGACCGGGGCTGGAAGTTTGATATTGACTGAGCATTATGAGCAGAGAAACAGTGTTCCCATCCTAAAAGAGTTTAAATCTTTTCCAAATGAAATGCTGTCACTTAGTAAGTAGAGGCATTTGTTGAATTGTGCTGCTGTAGAAAGTAAAATCTCTGTGTTCCCTTTTTGCAACCAGTACATACTGTAATACTCCTCACCATCATTCTGTCTTAATTAACTTTTTGATTTTGCATAAAATTACAACATTTTCTGGTTGAAGATAATCTGAAAAACATAAAAAAACATTGGCAAAACCAATCTTGGGGATGACACTTTTGATTTAGGTTCTTTCTATTTTATGTGACACCTAGTCATGCCCCTTAAAGAAGAAATTCAGCAAAGGTGGGGTTAACTAGAAAGTGGCTTTTGGCAGGCAGCAGTGCTGGGTGCTAGTGTTAATGTGCTGCAGACTGAACTGCACACGAGCCATGTTAAGTACAGTCTAGGGTCCAGTCAGTGCAAACCGTGAGGATCTAGGATTGCTAATACAATAGCTTGTAGCTGGCACTTCAAAGCTCCTGCCTTGAAAAACAACTTCTCGATATGTTGTAATTTTCAAGATTGCGTATGCGTTGTGCTTGACAAGAAATCAAAGGAATTGTTAGCAGTTGACCCAGAATAAAAGGGGAGTGTATGCTTATGTGAAACCAGCTTGGCGTGTCCAAAATAGTCTCACAAGTAATTCAGTTTTAGGTTAAGGTCTACTGTAGTCTGTCCATTCTGGGATGACCGCAGTGACAGTGAGCCAGGTCCAGTTTCCAACACCTCCAGGGGTGTTTATACTATTTTATAATGTTCTAAAGTTTCTTGATGTGGTCAGAAAACCAAATGCAAACAGGTGAAAAGAGAAAACGATAGTGTGCAGCTGTGCTATTGTGTGCAGGAGAACATACTGTAGCTCCCATTCCTCCTTCATTAGGCCGTGTGAGTTAACATTCACGCTCATTTCACATACTGCAAGGACAGCAGATCCTTCTCACCAAGACTGCTGCTCTGCAGTGGGAGGTGTGCTTGCATTACACTCCGGGTCACTGTGTGACTTTACTTCTGCATGTCGAATCCTACAAACAGCCAGCTGGAATCGGATGCACAGTAACACGCTGAACCACATCCAGTGTGTCAGTCTGGGGATTCCTGTAGTGCCTCTGTGAGTGCATTTTGAATCCTACTGTTTCTTATGCAGACACTCTGATATAGTACACCTACTGTAGCTATTTCTAAAAGCAGAGACGTACGTACAGTAGCAAATTAAAATGATATAACATTCTGTGGCCTTTGGCCTCTGCCTCTCCCGGTAAAAAAAAAGCATTTGTACAGCAGTTACTTAAGGATGTCTTCCAGGCCTGAACAGCCAGCTCTGAGTGATGGAGAAACCCAGCCCTGCAGTTCCTCAGGCCTCCTCACTCACTAGCCCAGGCCGGTCAGATTAAGGACATGGAAGGTTCTGCTTCATGTCTGGATTTAGTTCTTACCTTTTCTGAGTAAACTGGGTCTACTGCAGTCGGTCCTTTGCGTTTTTGTAGTGTAGATAATTGTTATGGTACTGAAATGCTCATCCTGTGGTGTCAGGATGCTCAGCTAGCGAGATCAGTGGGAAATGAACTGCATTTTTAAATGAGTTATGTGTCAGTGATGTCTTTAACATAACAGTACATCCAGTCACCAGGTTTACATAAGAGTCCTGTTCAGCAAGTCTTTACTTAAACCCATGTTCTACGTACTGTAGTCAGAAGTGACCTTTTCCTAGCTGCTGCGTGACACATAGAGAAATACCATTCATAATGTTGCACTGATCCATTCTTATTTTCCCTCACAGTGTGTGAGGGAGAAGAGACAGGAGAGCAGAATTACCAGCTTTTCAGAGTTTCCTGTCCTTAATGGCAGACAGGTATAGTATGTGTGTTAATCACAGAGGGTCGTAGAGAGGGAGGGAAAGAACTCTGCAGCAGCCGGGCATTCATGGGATCTAGAGGGAGGAAACATCCACCTTTATACAGGGGGGGGGGAGAGAAATTAAACAATTAATGTACCTCTGAATAAAAAAAATAAAAATGTTTTAAACTCTTAATATTAGAATATACACCAAATACACAACTCGCAAATATACAGTACAGTAAATAAACATCGGAGAGTTACATTTGAACAAATTTAAAAATACTGTACTTTTCCATACCCAAAACTGTACTGTTCAGAAAGAGCACAGATAAGAAGATCACCTGGGTGCTTCCATGACGTGATTGTGATTCGGTTAACCTCCGTGTCCAGGGAATAAGCCTGTCACGGATATCAGAAGGGCCAGGAGACCAATAAAGACCCTCTGCGTAACGGTAAACAGTAAAACCGGGAAAAGGAGGTTAGCCCAGGCTGAGGGGCTCAGACGATGTCGGAGTAGAGACCTAGGCCCTCAGGCCACGGACAGGAGCGACCTGGTGCTAGGCGGGTCTCAGGACATCCGAACCTCAATGCTGAGCCAGGAGCAGAGAAGACACGGGGAGTAAATAGGCTACACAACAGGACACACCGGAAAGACATGAACAATCACAGGGAACTACTGTAGGAACAGGACAGAAGAGCAGCGCCCTCTAGGTGTACTGGGCGTGACAAAGCCGAGTTGATGGGCAGTTGTTGCAACTGTGTGTGACAGCAGACGGAGCCGGAGAGCCGGCGGTGTCGCTACCTACGTGTGTAACATACTTGAATCGCGTCCATTAAGCTTTTTGAGAATTTGAAAATGCTCTTCCTGTGTAAATAGTGTCAAAGCAATTATTTGCCCTCTGCCTGTCATGTTTTGAACATAAATTAGAATGAATGGAATCGCAGTGCTCTAAACGTACTCGCTTGCTTTTGTGTTGCAGTTTTTCACTTTAGGACTGTTTAACTAGGAAATTTAGCCTCAACAGTTTTCTGAAAGTCCAGGGTTAGAGAGCTATTGCTGCTCATGTACTGTCTGTCAAAGTCAAGTTGAACATAGTTTGGGGAATAGCTGAGCAAATTTTGATTTGACAAGGCATGGCTCAGACAAGAAGAGACACCGATGCCTTTGCCTTGATGTCATTTTCTTGAATGTTATTTTATATATTTTTTAATAAACATTGTTCTCTAGAAAATAAGTCTTGAACCTGTTGTAGAGTATTTGGCACAAGCCTGACGGCATAACACCCAAGAACAAATCTCAAATCGCCATTTGTTCTGGTGGGAGTGGATGAGATGCATTGCAGTTAACCTCTGCCTGATGATCAGGTGCTCTGGTTGAAAGGATCTGCAGCCCAGACTGCCACTCTCCTGCTCTGCGCATCTTTGGGTGGAAAAACGCAGATGTTTAGATTTTGCTCAGCAGATTCCACTGCGCTGTGATTTTCAGTCCAGTTCCACATGATGGATGTGGTGTGGATGCTATTACTGTAGCCCTGATCCACCATCAAGCCGCAGAGGAAACCTGTTGATACTGTTATGTCACACACAGCGTCCGTTTGGGGTTCACGGCGCTGTTGCGCTTTTGGTTTGGGGGTTACTGCTTTACGGCACTTGGGTGCCTTGGAGGGCTTTTGATTTTCTGTGTCAGTTAAGAGTTATGCACATTAAAGAGCAGAGGTCTGCAAAACTTGCGTGCCTCACTCCCTGGTTTTCCGCGGTGTAACGGATACGGCACAAGTATCCCAACACCTGCAGTTCTCTCCTGTTGTCAGGGATGGGTTAAATCCCTGTAGTCATTGCCGTTGAGCAAGGACGCATTCAGCCAGCCCAGAAGACCGTAGGTTGCCCACCCCCCATTCAGCACAGCA